GTGCTTAAAACGAGGCGCAGCGAGGAAGCCGTGCCGCAGCCAAGACTCTCCCGGTGTGAAAAGGACCGCTTTGAAGTTCGCGAGTGAGCCGCTCCACTGCTGTTCCGTTCCACTGACACTTGCAGTGTGAAACCGGGGTAAGGTGGTCTAACTTCTGAAGCATCTGGAGGAAAACATATCAAATTCAATATTTATAGATTTAGTTAGGTGAGACCTGGTCTAACTCTTCACAAATAGCAATGAGAAACATGAAAATATGACATTCAGGTTCAGCCCACTAACTAGTTTCTGTAGGCCTCATTACTGACCTTTCTGTCTGTGTGAGTCAATATCTAACTCCCTAGGTTTTATTTTGATAGCTTAAATCGAAGAGATACGGCCCTGGATAATAGTTGGAGATGGGGTTCTTGCCCTCCAGCTTGTCTGGACGTTACCCAGATGTAAACAATAACAAGGAATGGGTCTATTGAATGTAAAGAATCTTTGCCCAAATTAAACCTTTGAAGGTCCTATAGAGCTCCGGGAGTTGACGTCACTTCTCCCGGCATGCAACAGTTCAAATCGAAACGGCGCCATCTTGGCAGGTATAAGCTGGCAGCTGGACTATTTGTTATTGTCAGAAAACTCAATCAGACAGGAAATATGGTAGATTCCTGTTGTGCCCCAGGACGCAGAACAGACGCGGACGACATAAGGAATGAGCCATCTACAGGATTCCCCAAGATCCGGAGCGCCGCAAACGTTGGATCATTGTAATAAAACGCGCTAGTGACCGGGCTGAAATGAAACTGTGGGATCCCGAGAATAAAGGTTTTTGCTTATGCAGCGACCGCTACATATCAGATACTTAAACCAACGTTTCCTCAACTGTGTATGGTATTTATTTTAAATGCTTTTATTACGATTCTTAGTGGGCTTCCTAAACTTATTTTGGCGTGGCTTTTTCCGTCTTATTACTCATAGCAACAAGTAAACATCACGTAAAACGTTGCCTCGTGATTTCTGCGTGCTGCTGTTTACGTGTTTTATGATCACAGCAATTAACCGGCTAAAGCCTGATTTATGCTTCTCCGTCTGCGTCAGTGCGGAGAAACGCAACGCCATTATCCGTCCTTGCAAGTACGTACGGAGTCGAGCCCACTTTTTTAAACATCCGTCGAACGAAACGGATTACGCTAGCTTGTGATTGGTCAGGACGCCGCTGTTGTTTACAGCGCCACCATTGCAAAGAGAGCCGAGGATAACTAGCGGCAGACACGGAGAAGCTTGAAGAATATCTCGCGAAAAAACTCTAAAAATATGAACGTTTCATCCTCCCGTGACTGGAGGAGTGAAAAAAGCGTTTTATTTGTGGACGGAAATGACAGGAAACGTGGGTTTAGAGGTGGGGAGCGCATGAAGCGGTGGGAGAATGAGAGACAAATATGTCTGTGTTAAAAGTCTCTTATATACACAAAAAACACAATATAAACACACTATCTTGGACCGATACATGACAGGATACCACAGAACAGCGCTACGCCCTCTGTGGTCCTGCCGGGCAATTGCTTTGCAACACTCTCCAGGAGACGGAGAAGTAAAAGAGCAAAACGCTTCCGTCAATCCGTGAGTGTCTGTCCCTTGCGGAGCTGACGGAGAAGCATAAACCAGGCTTAAGCTGTATTTCATTTTTAAGCAATGGTTGATCAATTGCCAGATCACACATAAAAAGCACTTTGGATTGCTATCATCAGTCTCACCGAGACAGATCTCAGACAGATCCTGAGACGCTCCTGCCTGACATATTTATTTAATTCACGGAAAACAATCAAACTAGTGATTTCTCTTGGCGTTCAGTTTATACATTCAAACAGCACAGCACTCTATTTAAACTACTTACGTGTAAATCTATGTTATCTGTCCATCCATCCATTTTCATCCGCGTATCCGGAGTCGGGTTGCGGGAGCAGTAGCGTCAAGAGGTCCAGACTTCCCTCTCCCCAGCCACCTGAGCCAGCTCCTCCGGGTAAATCCCAAGGGGTTCCCCGGCCAGGTCCGGTAAGAAGTCCGCTCCAACAGCTTCTGGCGTCGGTGCGGGCATGTAGCGTCGAGAGGCCCAGACTTCCCTCTCCCCAGCCACTTGGGCCAGCTCCTCCGGGGGAATCCCAAGGGGTTCCCCGGCTAGGTCCAGTAAGAAGTCCGCTCCGACAGCTTCTGGCGTTTTTAAAATGTATCCCAGGGGCACGGTAAGGGTTGGAGATGTTTAGTCTATTTAATTTCTGTCTATATAAAACGATTTCTTCGGTTTTAAAGTGTGAAGTAAACTCCGACGAAGTAAAATCCAAGCCGATCCCGTTCACGTTCATGGTTAGATCCGTGTTTGTTTAGCTTCTTTTACCTGCCAATATGGCGTCTACTAACTGAGAGTCACGTGGGGTCCGGAGCTCTATATCATGCAAAATCCGTTTCTTGAAGCTCTTGACCATGTTTTATTGCTATTTCCTCAGGAAAAAACACTCAAAGCATGTGATGGCTTGACGCATGTATCCTCCTGTCTCAAGCTGCTTCTCTCTCCAGCTCTGGTAAATTCTGCAAAGCTATCGCAGAAGCCTGGGTGGGGTGTTGTTACGTTGTCAATGCCCCACCCCTCCTAGCTAGGTGTCACACTCTGTCCTGTCTCCCCATTCTGTTCAGTCCTGTGTCCTTGTTAATTGCTCCCACCTGCCTCCCAACTCCTCCTGTATTTAAACCCTCTCAGTTCTGTGTGTCTTGTCAGTTCATTGTTTCGTTGTCCTACGTGTCTCATTAAATCCTTATTCAATGTTCTCGTCTGCCTGCCTGCCTTCTTCACCCGCATTTGGATCCTCACCTCCGCTCCACTCACCGGCACGTTCGTGATACTAGGTAATCTCGAGTCCAACTCCCTCCTCCTCTGGACTGTAAACACCCCAACAACCCATCTCTCTATGTAGCCAGCAGGGTTTTAATCTCCACACTTATAAAAAGTGATTCTTATTCAGTCTGCACTTTAAATAATAACTAGAACACAAACAGATTTTTGTCAGCGAGAGGAACTAGATCCTTGTCCAGTCTCACTCGGCTCTCATAAACCAAGCCAGAATTTAACAGCTTGTTAAACCATCACCAGTATCGGAGAGGGTTTTCAAACTGATTATTTCTTCAAACTGACGCCATTCCAACATTACAACCACCTGATGGATAGACCAAAGTGGAGTCCAACCAAAATGCTAACCGCTAGCTGAATAGTAATAAAGTTTGGTAGGTGAGCATCAGACACTGACCAGGACAATACTCAAGGCCAGAAAACTGCAACCTTCTCAGCTGCTTCTTCTACATTCGAGTGGCGCGCGTGTGCGTGTGTGCGTGTGTGTTAGAAGTTCGACCCTTTGAAGGAGAATTCTTCGAGAGGGGGAGGGGGCCCTCGGAAATTACTGAGTGAGACATGTCAGCATGAATCTGCGGTTTCCGGGTCTGCAGCTGTGTACTATTGTGGAATTTCCAAGGGACGAGGCAGGATTTGGTCAAATCCAAGTGTCTTATTTCCACGCTGAAGTAATGGCTCATAAAAATAAGTTATATTTCATAAAAAAACAAAAACTCAATAGTGCCAACTGTAATATTTATCATATATTGTGCCCATTGTTACTCTGGGGGGTGTAGAATAGCACGATACACACCCTTTTAAGGAAAATATCAGAATCTGCAACCTGTGACTCTTTGGACCTTCAACAGTGACTCGTAATAACTCTGACTAAAATGATTCAATTAAATAGATAAAATAAACAGTGCAGCCTTAAGCAGCTATTCGTTTTTTTTTCATGGCCTAACTGTATTGAATTTACACAACAGAATCACACTAACAATAACAGACATATATTTAAATAAATAAATATAAATAAATAAATATATTTAAATATATTTTTATATATATTTATATATTTCTACATAATTTTCTAAACATTCCATGGAAAAATAATCCATACTTCTTTTTGCAAACCATGTTCCTCTTATTTATTTTAAAACCTAATAATAGGGACACAACTGTGTTTTTTAAATGACAAGAAATCTTTTATAGATGTTTGAAGAGCGAAAAAACTCACTTTAATTTCAGAAAAAGTCAGAATCCCGACTTTAATCTCAATATTGTTCTCAGAAAACTGAGGGGAAATAAGTGTTTTTCACCTGCCCTAATCCTCTTCTGTTGATAATGAAGAGTGACTTTTTAAAAGCTTCTGCTGCAACGGCTTCAGCTCTAAACCTGTGGACTCAGGGGGAAAATGGTTCTTTGGGCTGCAGACTCCTTTTTATTCTTAGAGCGTTTCTCTCTAACCTTCGCCTTGAACGAGTGGTTGGTCGTTCAACGAGCCCTCCAGAGTCACTTGATGGCCTCCACTCACAACTTCTGTCTGGCCCAGCTCCAGCATGCTCTGCTGATCTGCGGTGGTATTAGAGGCCTGCTGCAGGGACTCTGTCTCCATTTCTGCTGGCATGTCATGGGTCACGGCACCGTTTCCCAGTGGGTCCTCACTCGCCTGTGAATGCATCTGCTGGGCCAGTTCGTACCTGGTGTGACGACAAAAAACAGCAATGGTGTTCGAAGATCTAGCACTCAGAGGGCCAACAGCCAAGAACCCCCCACCAATATTCAGTCAAAGCTCAGACCTGTGTGTCTTCATGTGTTTCCTACAGTTGGGCGACGACTTGAAAGTCTTCTGACAGTAAGGGCACATGTAAGGTCGGAGGTCGCTGTGGGTAGTCATGTGGCGCCGCAGACTACCGCTGGTTGTGAACGTTGTGTCACACATTAGACACTTGTAAGCCTTTAGGCCCGAGTGGGTCCGGATGTGAGCTTTGAGGACTCCTGAGGAGGCGAAACCACGACTACATTGAATGCATTTATATGGCCTCTCTCCTGTATGTGATCTGAAACACAAGGACAGACGAAATACAGGATTTTAAAAGACAAACCATAGTTTTCTCTGTGAGTCACTGCCTGACAAATGTCAGGGGATGCTTCATCCCTCCTAACTATTCACTTCTCTCTCTCTATTCTAAGCCCATCTCACATAAATTCAATTCCACTTCCCTTGGTGCTTTCAGCCTATCCTCCCCCAATTCATCCCCTCTATCAACATCTCTCCATTTCTCTCTGCCTCACTGATTCCCCACTCTTCATTGGGGGATTCGAGTCAGCTAGAAGAAACTCGCTGAGCTGAATAATGTTTTCAATGGGCCGGGTGTTTGAAATGATTATCTAACATTACATTACGACAGAATGACGTATTAAGAGCAAAACCAATTACCTGACATGCTGTTTTAGATGGCTTGATTTCTTGTAGGCTTTACTGCAAAACTGGCACTTGTATGGCCTTTCGCTGCCCACCACATCCAGGAACTGTGGGAAACCAAGGCGAGGGTTCTGGGATGTAACTAGGCCTGTTCAAAATGACACATAGATGGAAAGCAAGGTCTTTCACGTGAAAGCAAATGTAATCCGCACACACATTAACATCTAGTAAACCATGAACTAATGCATTTGGCACACCTGTGGGAGCAGCTGTGGCTAACCAGGACAAGAGGTCATCTGCAGTTAATTACACTAAAACAGTTTAGATCAATTCTAGAAAACAACATATCTAAGGTAAAGATGTACTTCCCTCTGATGGAGTGCCCTAGTTCTGACAGGACTGACGTGTTTGTACGTTTACTCATAACCCTGATCATGCAGAAATACTCTCTCACTAGGTCAGACATCCTGTTGCTGCAACGTCGCATTTTCTGGGAAAATTATCTGCTGCTTGACAACTTATTTTCTATTAAACCGTATGAAACAACAAGATATGCCTTATCTGTCTCCTTTACCACATCTGCCATAACAGCCAGTACTCATACCATAGTCAGTGATCAGGATAGGTTCCTGTAGGGGGATGTCAGGCAAGGGTAAGATGCTTTTGGAGGCTTTAGCTTTGTTGGCTTTCCGTGGAAATTTGTTCTTCTTCTGCTGCAAGCCTTTGAAGTGAGAAGCAATGTGCGTTTTCCTGTGGCCGGAGGTACGAAAGATCTTGTCGCAGTGAGGACATGGGAAAGGACGTGCACCTGTATAGCACAGGAGGGAGGAGAATCACTTTAGAAGGGCTTCTAACATCGACACTAATCCACTCTCAAAGATCAGAGGACTCAAAAAAGTTTATTTAAATACTGATCAAAATGTATTATCTTTAGACAAATGAGAACTGATTTTAATAAAAATGTTAAAAGTAAATATTAGAGAAAGTATTTCAGCTAGTGGCAACTAATATGTTTCACAGGGAAACCAAGTTACAGAACAAGGAAAAGTCACAAATATATGTGAATGGAAGCAGATTGGATGAAAATTAAAAAAAAAGCCGCCGCTTTGAACACAAACTTAACTGTTCCTTCAACAAGAGCACCGGCAGCTTCAGTGGAAACAAAACAAAACGATCTGATCTACTATTGTTCAATAGTAAACATTTACAGAACTAGTGTAATATAATTATAGCATTTGATTAAAGAGGCCATATCATGGAAAATCCACTTTTTGGAGCTTTTTACCATGTGATATTTTTATTTTGTCATGGAAAAAGCTGTGTTTTTGGCTGCTTTTGTGCATTTTCCTGTTCCAGCAGCAAATTTGGAGTTTTACTTTGAAATCCTGTAAAGCCTCAATGGAAACTAATCTCGTCATCAGGCCCTGCTCCTCTCCTGGAAGCTAGTCTCTGATCTGAAACCCGCCTCCCCTGGCCAGTACAGGACATGTTAGGTGATTATTGTTTGGTAACACACTTGGTAGTCCAGTGGTTAAGAGTGCCTGACTTGTATGTAGTTTTGCTCGCATTTGCATCCCAGTTGCAGCAGTAACTATACTTGCCAGTATTATATTTTCAATCCTTTATTGGTAAACTGTTTAAAAAGTAAGGACCATTCTGTTTTTTACTTTCTTTGTTTATTTGGCCAGTGTGAGTCAGTGTGAGGTGAGCAGAGTATCAACTAAAATTCTGCTTGGAAATGACCAAATTCAAAGATCTTTAGGGACACATGCTGGTGACGGCTCTGAGTCATCCAGGTCATGGTGATCAAAAAGGGTTTAAATGAAGGGAACTTGACTTCTTTGGTTTCTTGAAGACATTTCGCTTTTCATCCAAAGAGCTTTGTGAATTCTGACGGACCTCTCCACTCCCTGATGAGTCATTAGCCTCTATTGTGTTGATTTAGATGCAGGAAGGTGTGACCTAGACTGAAACTGCTTAGGAATCATCATCACCATCAACCTTTATTTATAAAGCACATTTAAACTGTGACAACGCCAACCAAAGTGATGCACAAGACAATAATCACAAATAGATAAAACAAATAAAAACTATTACAAAACAAGAAAAAAAATCAGGAAAGCACAAAGGTTAAACATTTTTAGCCAGGAAGGCCAGGGAATAGAAATATGTCTTCAAACGTACTTTAAAAGTAGGAAGGGAGGGGGCAAGTCGGACCGTCAGGGGGACTTGGTTCCAAAGTTTAGGCGCACAAACTGAAAAAGCCCGTTCGCCACGGGCCATATAGCGGGCAGGAGGGACGAGCAGAAGGTGCTGTCAGAGGACCTTAGGGTTCGCGCCGGAAGATAGGGACTCAAAAGATGTGCCAAATAAGAGGGGGCCATTTCATGAATAGTTTGTAAACCAACAGGAGAATTTTGAACTTAATCCGAAACCGAACTGGAAGCCAGTGTAAATTTGCAAAAACAGGGGTGATATGCTGCCGTCAGTCTATGCCCGTAAGAAACCTTGCGGCAGCATTCTGTACCAATTGGAGGCGTACCACTGAAGAGGAGGGAATACCATATAAAAGAGAGTTGGCATAGTCCAGACGTGACGTTGCAAAAGCATGAACAACTGACTGAAGATCTTTTTTGTTCAGGACAGATTTTAGTTTGGCCAGCCGGCGAAGATGAAAGAAACACGACCTGACTACCTGATTTATCTGTGCATCCATTTTAAAAAAAGCATCCAGAGTGACCCCCAAATTTGTAATTGTCAGCTTCACCAAAACTGACAATGAAGGGGGCAGAGATGGCTCCACAACCGAGGGGGAGCAGGGGGCAAAGAAAACAGCCTCCAGTTTGGAGCTGTTAAGATGGAGAAAATTAGCCGAGAGCCAGGACCTGACTTCACTCAGGCAGTCAGTCAGTGGTTGCACAAGGTCAGCAGATTTTCGGGCCATATAAAGTTGACAATCATCAGTGTAGAGATGAAAATTTACCTGGAATTTTATAAAAATTGCTGCCAAAGGTAAAATATATAGATTAAAAAGAAGCAGACCTAAAACGGACCCCTGGGAATGAGATTCAAAGCTGTTCAAGCTGCCTTTTGTATGACCTTCTTCACCACTCTCTCTTTATTCTGCTCTCCCCACCAGTTCCACCTTCCTCAGGATCCACTGATTTCCCTCTTTCCTCTTCACTCTCTCTCTTAACATTTTTTCTTTTAAATCGCAATTGCTTATTTTGCTCATTTTAAATATATTTTTAAACATTTTCTAAATGCTTTTTTAACCACGATAAGGTGAAGGTTCAAGGAGGAGCAATAATAATAATAAATATTATTATTATTATTGTTATAATTATAATAATAATAATAATAATAATTATTATTATTATTATCATCATAATCTGCACCTGGGTTTAGAATGAGAGTCTTCCAGAGCTACAAACATAATGATGTTCTACAAGTTTTGTAAACCTCATCCTTAGGTATGCATGTTGAGACTTAGAGGCAGTTCTGGTGCTCACCTGTGTGTAGCCGCATGTGTACCTTCATGCTGCCAGAAGTGGAGAAGCACTTCAGACAGCACTGACACTCAAAGGCCTTGATGCCGGTGTGCGTTTTCATATGTGCTGTGAGGGTGCTCTTCACAGCAAAAGCTCGGAAACACTGTTTGCACTTGAAAGGCTTCTCGTGGGTGTGGATGCGGATGTGGCGGACCAGGTCACTTGGTTTTTTGAACTCCTTAGAGCAGTATGGGCAGCCATGCCAGCGAATCCCGTCCTCCTCCCTGATCGAGCCTAAACAGGTGAGAAATGTTTCTTCGAGTAAATGTTTTATTTGATAACTAAATATAATCTAAACATCCCCAAATCCTGTTCATACCTGGCATCTGTATAGGTTTCTTAAAAATGCTTCTTTTCTTCTCCCTCAGCGATTTGTCTAGGACTGGGTCTTTCTTGCACTGTTTAGCGGCGCCCTCTGTGTTTTGGTTCTGAGACTCTTGGGACGCTGTGTCGCTCTGAGGTTGGACGACACTCAGTCCGCTGTTCTCCAAAGCTTGCTGCAAAAACAAACCATTACAGAGTAAACAAACAACAAGTAATTGCAACTGTCAAAGGCTAGGAGAATACTGTCAATCAACGAATGGTTTAGAAGGAGGGAAAACATTTAGCTCCAACAATAAAGCCTTAATTCAAATTCAAAGCTCAGTCATAATCACATCCGATTGCCTTGGTGGTTCTATTTAACAGTGCTTTCAAGTCCCACAGATGTCGCTTCCTGGAGGAAATTGTGCGGTCTTATCTTTCCACTGGCTGGCTGATGTTTCCACTACAGTGAAGAAACCTGCATTTCATCTGATTTCCGATATTCAGGAACATTTTCATGTCCTTTTTATTTTTAATTCATGTTTCTTCATTTAAATCATTTCCAAAACTTTGCACTGGAAGCTGAACAGAAATCACAAAGGTATCAATTTGTTGGTCAAAATAATATTTAAAACAACTTTTTGTTCCTTCATTAAAAACAACCGTTTCAAGAAATGTTTTCTTTTTAAAAACCTTGAATTGTTAAGTGTCCCTCACTCACCTGCAAGATGTCCTGGTTGATGGCCGTTTCCATGGCAATAGCTGGCTCTGGTGGGTGAGGCTGGGCCACCTCCCCACTGACTTGTTCTGACAGCTCTAGAAGCTGCTGGATCACATCCGTCACCCCCTCACCTCCTTCGGAGCCCCCCGCGGTCTGACCGGCCGTCTCTGTCTCCTACAGTCGGAGAGACGGGGTAATAAAGTGAGAAAAGAGCAACAAAAAAGATGAGAGGTGTGACAAAAGGACTGGGGGAGGCCAGAATTTTATGGCTGACTAACTTTTATTAGGGAGCCTCTGGAGCATAAAATGAGCTAAGGATTGGGTTTTAGTGAACAGAATGCCAATGCCTGAACCTGTTCGACTCACCGACACTCTGAGACTCAAATAACAGAATAGACGCGTCACAGCCAAATGCTGATTTCATTTGTGTGGATATGTGGTGGACAGAGAAACGTGTCAATGATTTAATAACGGACTAATTTAAACAGGTTAAACACATGGTGGTCGACTGGTTTGAAGACTGTAGATGTTGGCGTAGAGAGCTTTAGCATACTCTGCTGCTTTTCTGCTGAGGCTATAGCTATAAATATGCAGCTGCATACAGTTAAATAAAACACACCCTCTGCTAGTTGAGATCAGCTGTGACTGATGTATTCATCGGTCTCATCCACACCCATCTTTACCCAACAGCTCTGGACAAACACACGTGCTGTAACACGCCTTACAAATCCAATTAAGCTAACTTTGACTGTGACAAACAATCAGATTAGTACTCTAGTGTATTTTTGTCAGCTACCTAAAATCACACCCAGTTATGAAAGTCTTCTATCTGTCACGAGGAATAGAAAATGTGGAAAATGACACCACAAGCCAACCTGATGCATAAAAGAAGCTCCAATATCATCAGCCCAGCATGATGTCATTAGCACTCTAACATCTCCTTCCTCTAAATTACAGTCCCAGCTAGGAACTCTTGTGTGACTTATTACTTCCTTTCAAAAGTCTCAGCACAAAAGGAACACTTGATTATTATCAAAGCATGAAAATGTATGAAAAGAGGTGGTTTTTTGCTCATGTTTAGTACAAAGTGATCTCTTACTGAAGTGCCCAAAGGCACCTCTATCACGGAGATGTGCATCTTGCTGATGTGGGCATTCAGACTCCCCAGCTTCTTAAACACACAGCTGCAGTCCAGGCACGGGAACAGAGGAACCCCTTTGGTCTGGAAGAGAACACAAACACGCAGAATATTACCACCAGCTGCACAGGGATATGTTCCCCTCATCTACTCTATGTTCTACATTTCAGAAGCAAATATATGATTACATTAGCTCCATGTCAGTAGTTAACCCCACAGGGAAACGTGAACGGTAAATGGTAAACACTTACAGAAGAAAGAGGAAACATTCCTCAGTAATGATTCCCTTCAACACCCGACATTGATGCCTGATATGATTGTAAGTGGAGGGTTTGGAGGAAATCCACAGAGCAGACCACTTAAAATATGTTTCACTGCTTTCCACGAGGGGCTGATGTGTAAAATTATTAAAACCCTATCTGTGTCTGTGCACTTATGTCAGAAGCTGGAAAGGTTTTTTCAAGTGCTGTGTTTCAGTCAGAAGGACGCATCTGGAGCAGGTTGGAGTGTGGAGACTCAGTAAGGTGTCATCGTTGCCGTGATGGCTGGTTAGTGGGAACCAATATAGCAGGGTGACGAAGGGGTGTGGTTGTTGGGAAGTAGGAGAAAAGGAGTTAAAGAGCTGAATACAAACAGGGAGCGAGGAGCGAGCAATGACTGGTAGGGAAGAGGAATGACGTTGGGTTTATGGAAGACAGACGGGAATTACAGAACGTTCTGGAGCTGCTGGTGAAAGACATCAAAAAGGTGAAAGTGAGACGAGTTCTGAACCTAAGAGATACCTGAAAAATAAAAGACTTTTTAAAGAGTTTAAGACACCTAAACTTCCTGTGGAAAAATGTTAGACTGCTCTTTGAAACGCCGATACGAGTTCTGAATGAGGATGTTCGATATTAGCGGCTGATGTTGGCATTAAAAATAGATATTGGAAATTATATTTACTCATTTAATGACATGACCTTTACATGCCAAGCACACATAAATTCCCCTCTCACTCATATTGTCCAAATATGACAGATCTGGGGTTCAGTTTCTGGGATATTTAGTTTGTTTGACATAAACGGCCTAACTTTTGTTGTCACAGTGCACAGATGATGTTTTATTTAAGTATGCACAATAGAAAATATGTAATGGTATTTACCTAATTAATTTAATTTAACCCTTATTATGTTAGAAAGCTGTTTACACCTGTGGTGTTAGCGGGTCCATTTGGACCCATGATTTAAAAATGCTTGAAAATACTTAAAATCATCAGTTTTCTTCAAATGTTATGTTTCAGCTAATTGCTGGCTTAATATGTATTCATATAAATGGAACCAGTGTGTGAATAGTTTTTTAGTTGGCTCCAAAGACACAGTAACTTAAAATATACCACTCGTTTTTGATTGCAAAAACTGTTTAAATTCACTAAATGTATTTCTTTTTCTTATAGAATGAGTAATAATAAACTAGAAATGGGTTATAAACTAATATTAGAGTACACCTACCCAAAAAAAATTAGAATTTTTTTTTTACTATTTAAAATTATTAACAAAAGTGACATCTTTCGTGTCTCGGGTCAAAACGGACCCGCATAGATAAAGACAACAAGTCATTTTTCCCCCATAAACCCAACTTTTATTTAACCAAACCAATTAACCAAACAACTTAACCATAAAATGAACAGTGATAAACAACACTGTGTGTGTGGTTGTGTGCACGTGTATGCACCTGCATTGACCATAAACTGAACATTGGAAATAATATGGTGTTAGCGCAGGTATGTTGTTCTGAATTAACCATAATCTAAACAATGGAAACAACCCATAATTTGAACTGTGTGTGTGTGGAGAGAGAGAGAGAGAGAGAGAGAGAGAGAGAGAGAGAGAGGAGAGAGGAGAGAGAGAGAGAGAGAGAGAGAGAGAGAGAGAGAGAGAGAGAGAGAGAGAGAGAGAGAGAGAGAGAGAGAGAGAGAGAGAAGAGAGAAAGAAGAGAAAGAGAGAGAGAGAGAGAGAGAGAGAGAGAGAGACGGAGAGAGAGAGAGAGATGTGGACCATAACTGATCCTCAGAGCAACTCATAGCTTATAACCCTCTGGAAGCAGGCGTTGCAGAAATGCAATGTTAAAACCTACCTACCTGGTTACTCCACATACTTATTTCATGAGCATTTTTTAACTCAGAAGTACTCATGAAGGACTTAGTTGCTCGTCCTTTAATCAAAACTTATTTTGAGTCTGAGAGGGTTAAGTGAGGCATGCAACAGCCAGTTTTCTCATTTTGGACCCGTAACACCACAGATGTAACTTTTTTTTTTTAGACCTTTAGAATTGACTAAAATTGTGAAAATTGATTTTGCTACATTTAAATAGGTGTCTGATGATTAGATGAAGCCTCATTCCAGGACAAAAAAGGAAAGTGTACTTTTTACACAGTTAAACTTGAAAACGGGTCAATGTTGACCCTAATACAACAGAAGGGTTAAACCTTTTTTTAAGTGCGTGGGGGGTCCTGCATATATTGGTATTGTTTTATAGTGAAATCATAAATTAAAGGTAAGACTATCAGATGTTGGTATTAATCCAACAGCAAACATCCCTGGTTCTGACCCGACTGGAACCTCCCATTAAAAAATGTCTGAACTCAAAAATGTCATGGTGTTTTACAGCAACAATGATTCATAAACGTCTTCGCTGCCACGTGGTTATTACAGAATACTGATTATTTACGGCAGAACATAATGGAAGTCATTTAGTATTTCTGTGAGAGTACAATGGTGTTCTGCTGAGCTGTGGTGGCCTCATGGAGGGGGCCATCGGCTAGCACTCTGCTGCTAACCACTTAAACATTCTCCCCCTCCTGATAATAACATTTTACTTTCTTCGACATTAAATGTGCTACAACTAGTTTACCTGTTTAATTATAGATTCACTAGGATAAATACAATAAAGTTTATCTCTCACCAAATAGAATATTGACTAAGAAATCACAATGTAACCATAGAAACATTACTTGATATATATGTTGTGTGTGTGGATGCGTGTGCGCGTGGGTGGGTGGGTTGGTGTTGGTGTATGTGTGTGTCTGTTCTGTCTTCTCGATGCCCAGTGAGTCGTGGTTGATGGTTGCTTATACTGAGCCAGAATCCTCTGGAGCTTTCTTCCTGTTAAAAGGGAGTTTTCCTCTCCACTGTCGCTAAATGCTTGCTTAGTATGAGGATTGCTGTAAAGTCACTGACACCAGTCAATTTGCTGGGTTCCTTATATAGCAAAATTTTTACTGATTGTCTTACAGTTTTTTTTCAATTGCTAAAACTCAAAAAGCAAAAATGAGGCACAATTTTCACAACCTCTACTTCTGTTCCCAATTGCTTGACTCAATTTATCACTACTTAAGATTTCTTTATCATATTAGAACTCTGATTTTCCTCCTTTACACTCTAATGTCAATTTCATATTACCTTGCTGTCAAAACACAACACACAATTTTCAGGTTTACACACACTTTCCACATAAATTCTCAAAGCTTCAATCAACAACACACAAATATTCAAATCTCTAAACTTTCGGGTCTGGCAAGCAATTTGCAATCAGGGACTGCAGCATAAAAGTAAGTTTCCACAAGGCTACCCAGGTGTATGAGTGGTTTCAGGACCACCCACGGTTTTCCATTTTATACCTTCCACCTTATTCCCCCTTCCTCAATCCCACTGAGGAGTTTTTCTCAGCCTGGAGGTGGAAGGTGTACGAAAGGAATCCACAGAGCCAGGTCCCACTGCTTCAAGCTATGGAGGAGGCTTGTAGAGATGTGGCCTTTGAGGCCTGTCAGGGCTTCATGAGGCACTCGAGGCGGTACTTCCAGCGCTGTTCGGACATCGCCCGTGATGTTGATGAGGCCCTCTGGCCAGACGGAGACTGGCGGCATGATTATGCTTGGGGGGGGGGGGGGGGGCAGTAAAAATAAAATGTTTTGTCTCAAAATGTGTGTGTGTGTGTGTGTGTGGGGGGGGGGGGGGGGGGGGGGGTAACTGTAAAAATAAAATGTTTAGTCTCAAAATTTGTGTGATGTCTAACGTTTGTCTCAGAGAAAAGTGGGCACTGTCATACATTCAGTGTGTAATTCATTGTGTTCCCTTTCGACAACTGTGTTTTCAGTTTTGCTCTTCAGTGTTCTTTCCATGCTTGGTAGTGTTCACGCAAAGGCTACCTGTGTTTAAGCAATGAATGGTATGTGTGTGTCATGTGAAAATGTGGCTGTGTTTACCTAATGAAAACAAGTGTTCCATTTTGGGAACACGTTACAATATGTGGTGGCAGGGTTTTGTTGCAAAGGGAAGCCACGGTTTAGGAATTTGTGTGTTATGTTTGGGGTTTTGTGTGTGCAGTTTTGAAAGAAACGTACAGTTTTGAAAAACGCATTTTAGCAATCGAAAAAGACTGTAATGAACTGACCAGTATTAGAATGTTTACTATGTGAAGTGCCTTGAGATGACTCTTGTCGTGATTTGGCGCTATATAAATAAATTTGACATTATATAACAGATCGCGTGTTAAATTAGTTTTTGAGGTGGCGACACCTGATTGTTACTGTGGCCGTGCTCAGGAGGCAGATTACCGACCGCAAAAACAGCGGAGTGCTCATTGCTTGGCAGCCGCATCAGTGATTGGTGCGTCACCGCAGGACAAGGTGATGCGCCCCGCTCCACAGCAGCGAAACGCATCAGGCGCAAATAAAAGACAGAAAACATTTAAGGAAATGAGCCGACATGAACGATCGCGTGTTAAATTAGTTTTTGAGGTGGCGACACCTGATTTGATAATGTTACTGTGGCCGTGCTCAGGACGCAGATGTCTGGAGCGCGTCAACAATCAGAGCTTTGCGTGCGCAAGCTGGTTAAGGTTAGGATGGGGTGAGGGGAAGGTTAAATTGCAAGAGGGTAAACGTCACAATTTGGTTAAATGTCCGTTTTACGGCGGGTGTCCATACCGACGCTCTGGCACAGCGCGTTGCCCCCCCCCCCCGGACACGCAGGAGCTTGTCACCTGCTGACAGCAGGCTGCTGTCTTTTCCGAGGGCTGCATCTTGCCGGTCATTATCACGTGACATG